GCCGAGGCAGGTGGTGTCTGCTGCGCTGAGGGACGGGCAGGATGGGCACCCCCGTCCCCGGGCCTCTGGGGCCGGCGGGGTGGAGAGCAGCCAGGGCTGGAGGCTTGAGAGGGTGCCGGGAGGCCTCGAAGCGAGGTTGGAGGCGCCGGGGCACAGGAGGCCTCATTCCCGGGAGGGGTGGGCCTCGTCCCCGAGGTGGCTCCGTGGCCGAGAGGGTCCCCCTGGGCAGCCTCGTCCAAAGCGGGCGGCAGAAATGCTTGGTGTGGACTGTGTGGTTTCAGTGTTACATGCTCCATTTTCTCCCATAACTGACTTGATGGAGCCCTCTGGTCAGGGAGTTGGCTAGGGAAGGAGACTTCAAATTGTTATGGGAATAAACGGGAGAATGGGTTTGAGTAACCAGCTGGGGAGCGCTCAGGAATTTGAAAGTCTCTCTGGAAAGAACCTCTCAAGTGGTTTAGGCATTTGTCTCTCGAGTAGCATATCCTGTGCTGTTTAGGGAGCCTGTCCTTGAGAACTGGGAAAATTGGGAAGGATTCGATGATTCAGAGACTTAAAAACCTGCTTTAAACTGATACACCAAACAAATCCATTTACCTCACAGAAAAAAAGGCTGGGGGTGGTATGCTGGGGCCATGACTGTGCCGGGGAGCACTCTCCCGGCAGCCGGTGTCCGGCAGTGTGGTGGGCAGATGGGCTCTACCTCCTGCCAGCCAGGCCTGGCAGTGCTGCAGCAATAAAATGCTAAAGGCCTTTTTTTTTGATAGCAGGGCAAGTCCATCCAGTTAACACTGAAAAAGAACACCACTTTCTCCTTCCAGCAAGAGTCCTGTTACTTACTCCTGTTTTTCTTGAAGGGCAGGGCCCCTTTGGGCTTCAAGAAACTAATACACCCTGTTATGGCAAGACTGGGTGTGTTTTTAAAATGAGTCAGCTATTCTGAGATAATGCTTACGTGGCTGACCTCACTCTGCTAATGAATTACCTACTCCTAATAGAAAGTGCAGTAAACAATTCAAATGGTCTCATTCAAAGCTTTCTGATTCAGTACTAGGAAATTACGTTATTGCAGTTTCACCGTAGATAGGGATGTCTGTGATCTCCTGTCTCTTCAAGCGCTTTCCTTTCAGCCATTCGGCTTCCTGCCCTTGTCTCCAGCTGAACCCAATGGCTGCCCGCTGCGAGAGTGGCACCAAGAGGAACAAAGCCCTTTCAAGTGCCACCCGTTTGGAGGCAGGTGTTTCCTACCTGCCTTATGATGGCAATGATCAAAAATGGTGACTGAAAGCGGTCTTAAAAGTTAGCGGGTGCAACAAAGCTCAGCAGGAGGTGAAAGGGATTTTTAAATAGCTGAAAGAACATTTAACAGGCTGACTAAGAAAGGTCTTGGGCTCCACTTGATGGTGTTTCTGTTGAGTAGGCACTTGAGTAGGCCACCACCACATGAACACCACATCTCATCAGCCATGATTTCGGGAGATGTGCTAGGGTTCGGTGGGCAGAACACTAGGGAACCCGGGAGGGGGAGGTAGGGGCGGGAAGGATAATTTTCTTTGCAGCTAGTTAACACTCCTGACAGCTACAAATATCTGAACTTGTTTAAAGATTTAAGAAGTTGATGGCAACTATCAGCAACTAAGCTGGGGGGGGGGGAATAATTGGGGGGGGGGAGAAGGGGAGGACAAACCTTCTCTAGAAAGGGAGGGCTATATGGGACTCTGATATGTAGAAGAATGGACAAGCAGGGTGAACACTAACAGAGGGATTAGCTGTTTGCAATAAAAGTGCAGAAGTAGAAAAAAATAGTGTAGAAGTGTAGATGTGACAGACACGAGATGTTGAAAGGACAATGTCCTCAAGCCACAGAAGCATCCAAGCGTGCTAAAGTAGTATTTATTTTAAGGTTTCCTACTGAGTCAGTCTGTTTCTCTCTGGAATTACAGAAATAGAACTGGGCCATTTTATAATCCCTGAGGAATCACCTGGGATTCTTCAGGTCTACCCTCAGCATAGAGCTGCTACCTGTAGTGAAACATCTTCCCCTCCGGTCACACCACCAAGTAACATCTGGGCATGAGAGCCTGCGTGGGGGCTGTGCTCTTCTGCGGGTGTCGCTGTCGAAGGTTTCCAGCCCGCAGGCTGCCCTCTCCACTGCAGCCCGCTTTACCCCAGAAGCCAGCTGCTCTGGGGAATGCTGAAATGAGACGGTGAATAATAAGGCTGAGAGGCTTTTATCTACACTGCAGAGTTCCTGCTGGTGTGCTTACACTGGGATCATTCATTTTCCTGCTGGCATGGCTAATTTTCATCCTGGAATCGCATCGTTGTACTTCTGCTGGCGTGGCTGTATCTGTTCTGGAGCTGCTGCTTTGTTTTTCTGCTCGCACAGCCCCAGCAGCCGGAAGGTAAATAAATCCCTTGGCCATTAGCACTGAATAAGCGTGGTGTAAGGTGCCTTTCTGATCGGCAGGCTTGGCGAGAGACCCTTTTTGGCAGGGCTGCCGTTGGAACAGCAGCAGGTGTTGCGGTCTGCTCCCCCGCGGCGGTGGGGCTCAGCAGGGGCTGCAGGCTGATAAGGAACAGGCAAAGCAAAGGAGGTCCCGCTCAAATGGCTCGAGTTTGGTGAGTCAGGATTGAGGAAGTGCCACAGCTCATGTCGAGAAAGATTTTTCAATACAATGAGTTCCTGCTGCCCATGATCCCCTGCACTCTCCACAAATTTCAACATCCTGCCTTAATGAGGGAAGTAGATGTAACTGAAAAAATAATCCCCCAAATCAAGCAGCTTCTGCTCCAAAGCTGAAATAGCTACTGAAAACATCCTGTTTTTTTCCACGAAGCTGTACTGGAAGTTAGGAAATAGCCCGGTGAGGATTGTGCAATCTGAGTTCAAAGCTCGATGACTCAGGGGTAGCAGCAGGCAGGGTGGAGCCGGCTGTAGGTTTTGTCCCGGTGTCTCAAGTCAGCGCGGAGGGAGCCTTGAATGTAGGTACAGTAACAAAGCAACCAGCAAATTGGTGAGGTGAGAAGCTACGAACAGGAAAAAAAAAAACCAAAACCCTCAAATCCCAAGTATTGTTAATTATGAAAACAGTGCAGTAATGCTTCAAAGCGTTATGCCTTCCCTTTGAAAGCCCGAGTGTTTAGTCTGTGTACTCCTCAGTCCAGCACCAAGTTTATACTCAGTGCTGAGAGGCCTCGTGAGGAGTGGCTTGTAATGAAAATGTGCTCACAGAGCCATTTAAGGATTGAAAATTTACCTGCAGAAGGACCTGAGCCACCGGGCAGAAGGATGGCAGGTGAAATTTGGCACAGGCTCACAGTTTCCCAGGGGAAACCAATCCTAATTCCAGCTGTTCAGCAGCAGGCTATAAACCCAGGATCGCCACGCAGGAGCAACATGTCAGGATTATTGTAACAACTCCATGACATACCTGTCAGCTCTGTGGTTGGCAGGAGTCAAAAAAGTGTTAGGGAAGAATTAAAGAGAAGAAAATAGTGCCTGAACCCTGGCGCACCCGCACTTTGTCACGTGCAATTCCTGTGCCCAAAGGGCAACAAGGGTGCTCTGAGGCAAGGCACAGTTTCCGTGGGAGAAGTGGTTGAGTAGGCTGGTATTCTGCACTGGGAACACAAAAGAACTGGTTCTTGGTGTGATTCCCTGCATTGCAAGGCGTTGGGCATGCATGAAGGTGATAATGGGCTTCATGTAGGACTGGGCGAGTACGTAGAGATCTGTGTTGGGCTACCACCGATGCAAAATGGGATAGAGCCAGGAGACAGCTAAGCCAGTGAGGGGGCAGCGGCTCTGGGACAAGGGGAGGGACGGCGGGTGCTGCTCCTCTTCTAGGTCTCCCCTGGGCATCCACTGACAGAGGCCAGATAACAAGATGGGCCTTGGCCAACAGGCTCTTCTTCCCCAAGCCCTCTGCCAGCGCAGCTGCAGCAGCGCAGGCTGCAGAATCGCTCATCTACCTGCCTGAACGGTTATTAACCTGTCGCAGCCTGTCGTTGGTAATCAAGCTGGGAGTTTGTCAGCCCGTGTAAAATCATCCCCTGGCTGTGTGCCACCGTGTCTTTCCTCTGCAGGCAAGCCTCGAGTGAGGTCCAGTAAGCAGTCTGGCAAGGTATTTCTGTTCCGTGCCGCCCTCCCACTCTGCCAAGCTCGTTATGCACGGGGTAGGACGCAGCACTGATTCACAGTTTGCAGAGCTTGCAAACGCTGTTTGCCCATCACACTGCCCTAAGTTTGCATTCAGATTTCAACCTGACTGCACTATCCCACTCGAGTGGTTTGAGTCAGCCCCTGTGAGCACCCACACGAGCTGATGAATGGGTAACGTCGCCGCCATGTTTCACCCAACTTGCCCAGATTTATCAAGCCACAGCCTTAAAGAAAGTACACATTTTTTTTTATTCAGAGAATCACAGTAAGCTACTGAGACTCACGGCTGCTTTCCCCGGCATAGTTTCCCAAACATTCGCATGCAACTTTTGAAAACATCAAGTACACTTCAAGAATTTGGAAGATGCACCATCATAAGCAAAACCTGCACGAGACATTGGGGTTTCTGCCAGAGCAGCAGCCCCCTGCGAGAGGAACAGGCAGGAGTGCAGCGAGCTGAGCAGGAAGCGATGGGGCTGGGCAGCGAACGCTGCGGTGCTCTGCTTTATTCGAGAACATTCTTAGGAACCTTCTGCAGAAGCAATTCAATATCATCCTGGATCTTGATGGTTTCGAAATGCCGGCTGTAGCGTTTGAAGGGCACGCCGTCGGGGCCGATGAGGAACTTCTCGAAGTTCCAGGAGATGTCGTTGCGGCAGACCGGGGACCAGATGATGGACTGTGGGTTGGTCATCAGCGAGGAGGGGTCGTCGTGCGGGAAGGGCAGCGCCTCTTTCAGGAAGGTGAAGAGAGGGTGCGCGTTCTTCCCGTTCACCTCGCACTTCTCGAACATGATGAAATTGGGCTTGTACCCGTTGCCGGGACGAACATACTCCAGCGAGAGCAGGATCTCCGCGCTCGTGGCGTTTTCCTAGGGAAACAAAACCAAA